AAAAAAAATGTTTTCTTCTTGAAGTATGACGAATAACCGAAAAGTTTTTAATCCTGTTTTCAACAATTCGAAGAAATACGACGCTAAATTATAAAAAGAAAATCGGTACGTAATGATACATTTATTTACATGTATCTACAACTGATCGTTCGATATGTTAATAAAACTAAGAAAATTATGGAAAATTGATCAGCAGCATCATCAAGATCATCGCAACAACAAAGATTTAACACGTGTTTTCTGCAATGATCATTTTATATTTATAACAAAATGCGCACAAATTTTCACAGTTTCGTTAGTTAGTTTGAGATGCTAGACAAGTACACAATGAGACACTCATTGAGAGAGTGCTTGAATCTGTGCGTGCCAAGAGATGTCTCGTAAAAGGATGTTGGCAAGTTGACTTTACAAATTTTTAAACAAGATATTTTTTCGTTATATTTATTTTCCGTCTCTCTCTGAAGGTGGTAAAAGAAGGCAAAAAGTACCGTTTTCGTTGGGTAATTACCGGTCATTTAGTAATTATGTTTCGTGATTAAAGCAATGTTTTGTACAGAATTATGTACAGCCTTATATCGAGCTTGCATCTCGACGAAACAGGCGCTTCGCAGTTATTTCGCAGCTCTGTACATGTTTATGTTTTAATTTAAGTGTGCCTACACAGGCTTTTCTCTCATGTAGGGACCTATAAGGTTTGCAAATATCAATGCAATCCCTACATAAAGCATGTACAAGTATGATATGTGCAGTTGAATTGCCGCATGAGGTATATCTGTAACCCAACATTTCTTAACACTGAAAAGTGTTTTTGTACATCAAATTGTCTTTCGTTCTGTTCAGTAGCTGATAAGTCTCGTGAAATATGAAACATGAAATATATATGACCTAGCTAAGTAAAAGTGAGTTTCTCAGAGCATTTTAAATCCACCATTGGGAACAACTTCAAATTTTTATTCGAAGCAAGGGAACATGCACCCCCTCTCCCTCCAGGAGGCCCTGAAGACTTCACAAAACGGGAAAGTGTTGTTAGAATTAACTCAGTGAAACTGAGATGTGCTAGATACGTAATCCAATATGAAACATTAATAAAAGAAACCGTCCAATGTCAGTACCAGAAAGGAAACATAAAATATCAAGCAAATATGCTGTAAATACAACATTTAACTGCGTATAATGATCCGTTAAATCTTTGGATTTCTTTCATTATAGTAGCAGATGCGATTTTTCGTCGTTTAAGCTAAAATATGCGCACTTGTGAACTTAAATTCCTTTCCACAAGGAGACACTAAAGGAGATGATTGTCATCTTTTTCCGCTTATTGATATTTGCATTGATTAAACAAACGTTATATTGTTTTCCCCGCAAACGATTTCGTTCAAGTTTCGTGCAGTAAGTCATGCACGTAAAAGTGCTGTAAATAACGGAGAAACTAAGTGTTTCTAACAGAAGAAATGGAAGGGTGGTGCTTTTATTTGTTGTCCTCCTATTGCTCTTTCTCAACCAGCTTCACCTCTGTTATTTTAAAAATGCCGAGGAAAAAAAAACCCTGCAGATATCAGCTTGAGAGCGCCGATGACATGGGCATTAAAGTACTTAGCACCTAATAGAAAACAGTTTGAATGTTTTCGTGACCTAAAAGGTAAAAAGTAGAAAGTCATAAAAATTTAAATTTCCGAAACCTTTTTATCAATTAATTGAGACTAATTAAGGTGGATCAAAGCTAGTTCTTTGAGGGATCGATGCTACCACACTGTTTCCTTTGTATCCATGAAAATGCTATCAAACAAAAGCCTATTTATTTTTCAACAAGTTGTGAGTATTTTTATATCATAAAAGGTCACCATAGCAACACTACAGCATTTTAAAAACACCCTCAATTTTAGCTTTATGTGTTCGTAGCACTAAAACGAGTTCAGTGATCCCCATTTTTTATCATCGAATTACAATCAGCATATCAAGATTCATCTTTTTGCAAAGTTAAAAAAAATTCTTCGGAGTAGGTTCAGAGCCACTTTAGATAAGCACAAAAATTAAGGTGGCTCTGAACCTATTGCGTAAAACTTTTTTAGCCTTGCAAAAAGATAAATCTTGATATGCTGATTGTAATTCGGTGATAAAAAATGGGGGTCACTCACTCACTTTTCCTCTAGGCGTCACGCACGCATGCTTTTTCATCGTTAATACTGTTAGTTCGCCGCGTGTAAAAACACCTTATGGTCAACTAGCAAAATTTTTCAGCTTGATGATTTTTTTTTCACTTATATACTCATATATATTCATTAATCTTATACGATATGTAGAAGTGGCTCATTTTGTAACTGAAAACATTAAATGAGAGCTGATCGTCGTGAGCCGTCGGGGAAACTAAAACGCTTAGTTACTATATACTTTACACTTATATAGTTTGTACTTTTAAGTCGTAGTTATGTGAAATGACACTATAAAGCTTGTGTGACACAATAAACGAGTGACTGAATTTGTAGATTTCTTTAATTTTTACATTTTCATTTAGCCGAGAGAAAACACTTGTTCGAGTATATCAATGTGCAACCATTTTTCTTGGTCTAATTTGATTGCAAAATAACATGAAGAATATCATTGAATATCATCTGAGTTTCAGAAATGAAAAAAATCGCTAAAATCGCACCGGATCGGGAAAATAACCACACAGCAAGCAAGAACACACCATGTAAATAAGGTAAGACGTTTTTTATTGAGAATTTCTACGAGTATTTATCTTCCTAAA